GGGCTGGTGGTGGCCATCTGCTCGGTGTCGAGCGTGTTGGTGCTGGCGGTGGTGCTGTACGGGGCGTCGCGGTGTGCGGCGCGGGCGGGCGTGGTGTCGGGGCCCGGTGCGGCGACGCTGGTGTGCGCCAGCGAAGTGGGGAGCTGGTCGTACTCGCAGCGCCAGAGCCGGAGCCTGTGCGTGGCGGAGGGCGCGGGCAAGAGCGACCTGATGGTTTTCAGCCCCAACTTCCCGCCGCCGCCGCCGCCCGGCCCCGCGGCGAAGGAGACGCAGCCGGCGCCGCCCGCTCTGCTGGACACGGTCAGTGCCCTCCCTGTCCCGCCCCTCGCTCCCTCTGTCCCTTCTCGCCCTGCTCTCCGTGTCCGATCAGGGGTTGCTGGGAGCTGTTCTCGTCTCTTAGGTTCTGCGTGCGTTGGATTTCTGGCAGGTGCTTAGTCTGTTTCTGTTGACTGTAGCGTTTCTGTTGGCTTTTTCCTTTGTATGTTCTTGAACTGCTGCTGTTCGTTTATGCGTTTTTTTCTCGTATTCCTTGGGCACAGAAGTGCTTGGTGCTGCGTTGCAGCTGTTTCCCCTATCGTACTAGTATTTTGGTGTGAGCATTCTCTCTGTGTCTAGTTGAGGTGTGATAGGCTAGGTTTTTCTTTAGCATCTTGAATATTTTTTTTTCTTTTTAAATGATTATTATTTTTGGTCGGGGGGATATTGACAGGAGAAGTTGGGATTTAAAGGCTGTGTGGCAATGTCCAGTTAAAACCCGTTCTGAAGGGCAGACATGTTGAATGGATTTTCTCATGGTGTTGTATGATCCAGTTTTCATGCCTTGGCTCCCTATTCTTCATATGCTTCTTCTTTGAAGGCCTCTGTTGTATTCCCTTTCATTGTTTGATTTACGTAAGATGAGAAAACATTCCTCATACAGAAGCTGCTGGAAATCTTTGGTCATCCTGCTGGCCTTCTCTGAAACTCTTCTGACTTTCCCCCTTACCATGTTAAGGTGGAGAGGACGCCAGGAAATAATCCAAAATCTTGGCGAACCTTCTATACGTGCGATTTGAATTCAGTGCATTTTTTTCTTCTGTGGTCTCATAAGTCTTCATTTTTCTATTTGCACTGAGAATGAGGCTGGTATTTCCATGTCATTGTCTTTTCTATGCCAAAGATGTAACTATGAACCTTAAATGGTTGTTTAAGAGTCATTCACAGTCTCATTTTTTCCCTCATCTGCTCACTTTTGTGTTGTCCTGCATGGAAAACTATTTGCCGTTTTCCAACCTAGGTCTTCAGGGTCATCAACTGTTTCTGCAGTACTCCTGTTACTCTGCTTTGTAGCTTAGTTATCTCCTGTAACTCTTGTTACATCACTGTGAATTTTTAAGATCCTTTGACAAGCTGTGAATTGGCACAGTTCCTGGCAAAGGTTTCTGCTTGAGTTGTTGTCTTTATGATCTGGCTGAAGTGATCAGTTTGGTTTTTCTGTTGTCGTTGTAGTTAGTCACAACTCTTAAATTCCACTCTAGGCCTTCTTTCATTTTTCATGGATTGTCTTCATTTGTGTACGTTTTTGCACCTTGCAGGTAGAATATTTTTAAGGAACTGTTTGCTTTTGGCTGCTGTGAAATGCTGGTTTCCAGTCTAACCAGAAGTCTGTCCTCTTTGATTCTCCTCTGAAATACAGATCATGCAAGGTGACCACAGTTGGTACTCCAGTTTCTTTTCTGTTCCCCTTGCATGGCATCTATTAGTTTGTGAAGTACTACAGAATTACTGTGAACATGGAAAAGATAGAAGAATTTCAAGTTGCCCCTTTCTAAATGTGTTGCAAATGTACTTTCTAATGCAAAGGCTTTAATGGCAGAATGTCACGAGCCAAGGTAGGTGTGGAAAATGTGCAGCTATAGTGCTATATTAGGCAAGATGTATTGCCACAGGGTGGTTTTTTTGTGAATATATTTGTAGAAGCACCTCATCCTTGATTCCTGACTCTGCTAGTTCCATGTTCTGTGCTGTGGTAAGCTTTGTATTTCCTTTTTTTTTTTTTTTCCCCCTTTATTTTCCCCTTCCTGAGAATATTTAGAAAAATAAACAGTTATTTAGTGCCTGCTTGTGTTTGTACTTTATGGTGATCACATGAATATGAACTGGGGTGAGACCTGATAGTCCTGATTCCCCTGCAGGCAGCATGGCTTAGCTTGCCTTTCTCAGATGTGGCAGTTGTGAGCAAGAGCCATGCTATTCAATAGTGCTGACTGCCTGATTTCAGGATTTGTGCCCCTGGCCATCTCTGTGCTTCGCTGCCTTGGAGTCTCTTAAGGTGATGTTTACCTTGAGAGAATGCTTAGAAATAAGATTTTATTTGTGTATCCACTTCTATGAAGGGGGGATTCCTGTTTCCACTTTCATAGAAGAGGACACAGAAACGCAGGGCAATACAGCAGGGATTTGAGTGGCTGAACAAAACCTGGTTGCTTTTCCATCCCTGCTTCTCTGAAATATCCAACAGTGATCCTTGAACTCAGGCCTGTTAACGGGGACCTAGAAATAAATCAAGACACTAGAATGGCAACAGTTGTAATTAAAAATTACTTACAACAGACCTACCTGGATGTTTTTCTGCACTTGGTATTTTCATTGCGTTTTGACCTCCTGTTGCATCATTGATGCTTCTGTGGCAGAACCAGCAACTTGCTGCTGTGTGAAATCATCTGGTTTGTGCTGCTGCCTGGTCTGTGTGGCAGCATTATGTATTTGCATTGAGGAGGGGTCCTGGTGTGTTTATGACAGTGGATGAGGTGGGAGCTTGGGAACATGCTGTAAAGTGAACTCTACCTTGCCAGAGCAGTGGTACAACCCTTCTGTGGTGTCTTCAGTTATGGGATGGTTGGATTGACTCTACTGTATCATGCAGCAGCTCATCTCCATCAGTAATGGGCACTGTTCTGCTGCTCTGTGAGTGCTGACCTACCAAAGCAGGTAAGCAATAACTCCTCATTCGTTGTGAACCTAAAACAGGGGAATAAAACTTGTAGGAAATACTTTACTGTGACGCATCAAGGCTACTAGAGAGCTCTGTTCCCTGAGATGGTTCATCCTTCCAAGAGGATTTGGGATATGTAGATTATGTGTAGTCTGAGATAGGGAGTCACAGGTGGAGTACAAAGCCTCAGAATTTATGAGCATTGAAAGTTTCTTAGTTTGGATCTATACTTCAGCTGTGAACAGATACATATTCTTTCCAAAGTCCTCTATTATTTACTGCATGAAAACCAGGGAAAGGGCATGGGGTTGCTCACCTGCATCACTGTCACAAAGCCATGAAAAGCAAGCTGTTTCTGGATGGTGTTAAGGTTGCTGCACTTGACAGAAAAAGTTCCCATGTGAATCTGTTTCTTCTGGAGACCTGAGCACTTTCCACAGAGGGAAGATCAAGGATACAGACTTCTGCAGTGGAAATGGCTGAACTCACTTTGCAAAGAAACAAACACATGAGGAAACTGAGTCGTGTCTCCTCAGCAATGTGTGGAGAAGACAAAGTTGGGAGATGAGAAGTGGGGGGATGTTCTTTTCACTGAAGACTTTCAGGCTTGTGATTCCTGGGTTATTGGAGGAGCTTAGGAAACATTTTGGCAAGTCTATATATAACAACTAGAGAGTCTTTAGGCAAGAGACGAGGAAGAGGAGAGAAACGAAGAGAGAAGAGAACAGAAGAGAGAAGAGAACAGAAGAGAGAAGAGAACAGAAGAGAGAAGAGAACAGAAGAGAGAAGAGAACAGAAGAGAGAAGAGAACAGAAGAGAGAAGAGAACAGAAGAGAGAAGAGAACAGAAGAGAGAAGACGAGAGACCAAGGGAGAAGCACTCCTTACCGTTTCTGACGAAGGGAAATGCTACGAAGGGAAATCGCGGAGGATGTGGGCCGAACGGGAGGAGCCACGGCCCGTTTTCTTTCAAGCGGAGCAGCGAGAGGAGCCCGCGAGGGACGCCAGATGTCGCTGTTGGCCGCGGAGGCGCCGTGAACCTGCGGGTGAGCGGCAGCTCCT